TACTTTCTGGCGAATGCGCCAGGTTCCTCAAGGCACGTTGCGATTTTTTTAGCAGTATGCAGTTATGCAACCAGTAATACACCTTGACAATATCTTTGTTGCAAGCGGAGATGCTCTTTTTCCATCAAAGCGTTGTTTACGTTACAACTATTAGACATATAGTTTAGCACGTTTTACCTAGCAACGAATCAATTATTTAACTGTCATGTAAAATATAACGCAGGTATGTTTTGTTCGTTATATTGAAGGAGGAAAAGATCAGTTTGGAAACACAACGCAAAATGGAACAAAGAAGGAAATTGAAAAGTGACGAACACGCCAGTCAAGGTGATTTGAATAAACTAAATAAGGAAATATCAAGAGAAATCAGAAAAGACATAAGAAAGCACAGAAACGAAAAAGTTGTTAAAACTATGGAGGATAATAAGAGCATGAAAATAATGAGACGCAAGCTCACTAATGGAAAAAAAGAAATCGTCAAACTCAAGGACAAAAATGGTAATATAACATCTAATAGAGAACATTTATTACAGATTGTGGAAACATTCTATGAAACACTATACACCAACCATTCTACTCTAGACTCGAGGAAGCACCTACAAGGAAAGGTTCAAAATCAGGGTTCTGAGGATGTTCCGGAAATCTCTGTAAGTGAAATTTACAATGCTCTAAAAAAGATGAAGAACAATAAAGCTCCGGGGGATGATGGCGTCGTCACAAAAGCGATAAAGATGGGAGGAACAGTATTAATGACCAATATTCAACGGCTGTTCAATCTCTGTCTGGAAAATCAAAATATCCCTACAAAGTGGAATAACTCAATAATTATCCTCTTACATCAAAAAGGAGACATAGCAGACCTGGAAAATTATAGACCAATTAGCCTTCTTAATCATCTTTATAAACTATATACCCGAATTATAACAAATAGACTACAGGCAAAATTGGAGTTCTACCAACCTAAAGAGCAAGCTGGTTTCCGTTCCGAATTTGGTACCAACGATCATCTGCAGTGTTTAAAAACCTTAATAGAAAAAACCATCAAAAACAATCGTCCCCTAGCACTGATATTTGTCGATTTTAGAAAAGCGTTCGATACGGTAGAATTACCTGCCATCCTAACAGCGCTACAAGAATGTAGAATCGACCATCGATATTGTAACATAATACAAAAACATATATGACAATGCTACAACAACTGTAAATCTACATTCCACAACTAACCAGATAAAAATAAAAAGGGGAGTTAGGCAGGGCGATACCATGTCGCCAAAATTGTTTATTACTGTTCTTGAGCATGCATTCAAAATGCTGGCTTGGTAACAAAAAGGAATAGTTATCGATGGAGAGAGACTCAACCACCTACGCTTTGCGGATGAAATCGTTATAATGTCAGATAGTCTGGGAGAGATCAAAGACATGCTTCAAGAACTTAACGATGCATTACACGAGATTGGACTAACAATAAATTTTGACAAAACTAAGATAATGACTAATATTGTGCCCAGCGAACACATACAAATTCACAACAACAGAATAGAATTAGTCCACAAATATGTATACTTGGGCCATGAGATGAAAATAAGTAGAGATAACCAAACCTGTGAACTGGCTAGACGAATTACCTTGGGATGGGCGACTTACGGAAAAATGAGGGACATCTTTAGAGCAAATATCCCAATACACCTGAAAAAAAGGCATTTAACCAATGTATCCTCCCGGTTTTGACCTATGGCGCAAAGACACTCACTCTAACAAAAGCAACCGCAGAAAAATTGAGAGTGACACAGAGGCGGATGGAGAGATCTATGATTGGCCTGACTTTGAGAGATCGAGTAAGAAATCAAGAGATACGCCGACGTACGGGAGTGGATGACATTATCCAGCGAATCACAAAACAAAAGTGGAGATGGGCTGGACACATTGCTAGAATGGCAGACGGGAGATGGACCAAAAGACTTATTATAGAGTGGAGACCAAGAGCTGACAAGCGTAGCCAAGGCAGACCTCCCACCCGATGGACCGACGACCTGAAACGAATAACAACTAACTGGATTGCAACAGCTAAAAACCGCGAGATCTGGAAACGTTTGGAGGAGGCCTATGTTCAACTATGGACGTGAAAGGGGGCTGCGTGATGATTATGATGATGTTTTGTTCAGCTGCAAATTTTATTCAATTATATGCTATCGTACGCCCAACGCTTCTATTGTTTATACGACTATACTATATACTTGTGGTGATTTTTGAATGGAGTGGGGGGAACCACACATTTGCTGGTAATGTGTAGTGGCAGGACACCTTCTGAAAAAATGTTTACTTATTTTTTTTTGGTGGTTTTGTTGTGTTGTTTTAATGATTTAAATGGAAATTGACATAATCTTTTGGAAGGGAGAATCAATGGACGCTTTATTAGAATCGTAGGGTGCCTACTAGAGATACTATACGAGAAGATTTACTTACTATACCGGGTGCGTTTGGAAAGTGGCTCACCCCTATAACTTTTTTATTTTTTTCAGATGAAAAAACGAGATTTCGTATGTTAGTATATGTCATAAATTAGGATTGATTGACGTATTCAATTGTTTTTGGTTACTTGGGGAGCCTCGGAAAAATATATTTGAGCGTCTAATGTTTTTAGTGTCTTGTCCTGGCTGGTTAAAAGATGCCCAAATCATATTCTTAATCATATCTTAATTTTTTCAAATTAAACAAGGGTAGCTCATTAGCCTATTTAGAAAAAAACATTTTTTTACAAATAATTTTATACCACACACTTGGTATTTTGAGTCAAATTGTCGTTAAGAACCGCATGTTACAATTTCAAATAAATCATTTGCGAAAATGTCAAAAGTTGACATATGATATGCCATTCTATTCAGTCATTTTCTATCGAATAAAGTAAAAAATACCGAGGGTGCCATTTAAAAATCAAAAGAAAGTTGTAGTCATTTCCGGTAAAACAACAAGTGACGGAAAACGACTGAATACGTCTTTCAATCTTATTTTATGTCATTTTATACTAACATACCAAATCTCGTTCTTTTATCTGAAAAAATAATAAAGTTATAGGTATGAGCCACTTTCGAGACGCACCCAGTATGTTTTTATTGCTCGTACGTTTTATAATGAAGATTGGAGTAAAAATTTCAAATAGAAAAGTTAATATAAAGCTTTTACGAACACTGGACCACTCTGTATATTAAATAAAATATTAGGAAATTCTGTATATTAGGAAAACAACAAATTGCTATTTGATGCTTTGCAATTTCTCACGATTTTCCAAAAAGCTCCAGTTTCCATTCCGCAAATGCTGAAAAGCCGACGATTTCAGATTTGAACGGAACTTTTTAAATTTTTAAAAGCGTTTAAAAGAACTGCAGAGCTTTCTGGCAGAAGGCGGTCTGTTTCCAGATTTGTCCGCTCCCCGGCAACGAACGTGCTGAGTTTATTCTAACTTGCAGAGACTTAACCGACGCCTTAACTTATGCAAAGCTTCTGGGCTGTTCTTTTGTGCTTTTGCGGTCGCTTTGTGCCAAGAAGTTTTACGTTATATTCCGGTCGCTGGGCATGATGAAGCTTTCAATTTTTTTTTTGGTTGGTTTTGCAATTTGCATCTTATTTCTTTTTAGGGAGACACTAGTTTAGAAGTGTAATCAATTTATTTAGTTAAACACCTTTAATATACAGTGCACCTCTTGAATCAAACACGCGTTAATCAGAACATTCAGTAATCGGAATAGATAAAAGGAATATCAGAATAGATCAGGCGAATAAATCAGGGTTGATTCAAGAACGGTAAACTAATAGGATTGCTCATCCTCATAAGACGTACGTTCGCCTCTTCCCGCGCTTCAGCTGACAGTTGTGACGTCATTGTAGTCCTTGTCATGATACTGCGTATTATTAGTTGCCTATGGTAAACTTATAAAAATAACAGCTGAGCAATTTTGAGGTATTAATTTGTCAATTTTAAATGTGAAAAAGGTGTTTTAAAGTTTTTAGAGCTATAGAGTGTATAAATACGTTCATTTTGTGTTGTGGATTGTGACAAAGTGCTTACTAAGTGCCTACGATATTGTTTCTTAATTATTTTAAAGCAAAATATGGAAGTACTCTAAAAAGAATGCCTGCAAAAGTTGAAGCTGGGAACTGCTGTTCTTAAAAATGCATTATCCGAATATTTAATACAATTTATACACAGTTAATTTTCTATACTGCATACATATAAGGTGTTTAAATAAATAAACTAAATAATGAACGTTTTGCATCCGGCAACCAATAATGCACGTGTATGTATTATTGGTTGCCGGATAAGGACTAATAACCATGACAAGGTCTACAATGACGTCACAAAGCGAGGAGTTTCCGCATGCACCTGGCAGACACTGTTGGCTGAATGAGCAGTCCTATTAGGTTAACTGTTCTTGGGATTGATTGACGTATCCAATTAGTTTTGGTCACTTCCTGTTTCACCGGAAATGACTATAACTTTTGATTTTTAAATGGTACCCGCGGTATATTTTCACTTTATTTGATAGAAAATGACATTCTGCCAATAATATATAGGGTGTTCCATTTAAAATAAGTCGTCCCGATCGACTCACACTTTTTTAAGCCACCCTGTAGAAGTTAATATAATAACATTCTAGTACATACTCCGGACCCTGTAGAGAAATCAATAAAAGTTGGCATGAACTTCATTAAAGATGTCGAAACTATTACTAAATTAAATTTCTATAAATAATTTCGTTAGAAAGTTCGAGCGCACTTTTTTCGCGTTTTCTTATAATCTTATATCCTGGTTAAGAAAGCACGCTGTCGCATCAAGTAGGGAGATATAAGGAAACAAGCATTGAAGAATCATTATAGAAAATAAACCAGTAAAAATCTACATCCAACCGATGATTACATGCTTGTAAACCTACACTTATTCTTTATTAACCTAACTGTGATTGGTATTGTAGTTATAATGTGAACCTGCCCTTATTGAAGTTTACCTGAAGTTGATGTTGACGGCACAATCTAGCACGATTTTGGTGTTCTGCTTGGCGAAGGTTTGTGTGTATTCCTCCCCATTTGAGCCGGTTTTTTCGTAACTCAAATTCGTCCTAGTGTCAGCTCTGGTTGGTCGACGGTGCGCGCTTGCGCTGTGTGGATGGCGAGTGTGGGTCCTGGATTCGGCACAGCCTGCAAGAAAAACAATAATGAATTAGTTTTGACCTAATTTTGAGAACGATATACTTTTTATCTCTACAGACATATTTATTATTAATTTCATTACAAATCGTAATAATGTCACAGTTAACTTAACTTCTGACACAATAAAATAATCTTAGGGTCGTTCAACAAAGTTAAAGAGGAAATATTTTGACCAACTGTATATTAAGCAGTTCAAATGAAATACAGGAACCTACGTTGTGTTAAAAATATATATTTTTTTATTGTGAGTTACCTCGGATGCGCTCGACAAAAGCAATATTAGGGAAATTTGAGGAGGATATGTTATGTAAATCAAACGCTAAACTTGTAAATAGTCCTACTTATTTTTTATTTTTAAATTAACTGAAAGGAGTGCCGTACTCTGCTGGGAATTCATAAGTAAAAGAGCACGGCAGAGAAAACCTTGATCACTATTCCAAAGAATCTAGCTATGCTCTTCTAAAATTCAATAAAAGATAAATAATATAAGATAAGTAATACAAAAACTGCTCTCATACCAAGGTTTATAGTTTAATACATATATATAGCACATGTACTAAGTTCTTTCGTTTCGAGTCCCGAAGCTAAAGTTAGGGTTTGTAAAGTAAAAGGTTTGTTCCAAATATCTTAGACTATGAGTTATTCTATTCTTTGGTATTAATTGCTCATTTGTTTGCTAAAATATTAATAAGCTTAAGATATTTTTTTTGTTATTGAACCAAAATAAGGAGCAGGTGCGACTATAAAGTGGCGAAACGTCGCATAATAACATAATTGTTTTCTTTCGAGCCTTCCCAAACACACACGATTTTTTTTCTGCGTATTAACTACTGGAAGCTAACAATAATCATAATAATAACTAATACATGAACAGTATTAGGTATTCTTTTTCCTTAATCTTTTTATTCATTATTATTATGTTTTCATATCTTTCTTATTCAATGTGATCGAAAAAAAAGCTTCAGCGATGGCTATGAAATAAAGATCGCTGTCATTTTACAAGTAAAATTATATGGGGAATGTCTAGATCGTAATTTCCAAGCTAACTGGACGCCGTTTTTTTCGAACATACGGTGCCGTTTATAATATGTTATTTGTATACAGGGTGGCCCATCGAAAACGTTCCGCAAGGCATAACGGCCAGGATATTTTTTTATTAAAAAAATCCAAAACAGGTCAATTTTGCTTGTGAGGGGGACAACTTTTGCCCCAAAAATTATTGCAAAATCTTCAATCCTCTAAGCGGGGGCGTCATCCCCCAACTTTTTTCAAATGGAAAGGGGGGTCAAGTGGTGCCGCAATGAAAAGGGCTTTTTATTCTCTATACTTTCCCGCTTCGTTTTTGAAAATCGGTCGAGTCATTGAGAAAATATGAAGGATTGAAATTTGAAAAGTTTATTTAAACATTTATCAGAGTAAGCAGAATTCCTTCGACCAATTTGCTGTTTTTTCTTATTATTTCTAGATGTTTAGGCATTTTTTCACTTGCCACAAGGTTGAACGATCAGGTGCGGCAGTTGCTAGATAGCTGTTCTGTGACTTGTGCGTTGAAGTTCTTCTCAATATCGAAAATAGAATTTCCAAAAATACCAGCCCACACGTTCAATTTCTGAGGGTTTTGTGTGTGCACCTCGTGAAAAACCCCTCGTGAAAAACCCCCCATTTTCCCTCTGCCTCTTTTTATTCATAACGGAACCAGTTTCGCGAAATTTTGCTACTAACTCGCGAACAATTTCGCCATAAAGGTGTTTTTCAGGATGCCATTCATTGAATATCTGCGGAACCCGATTGCTACATTCATTATTTTTAAAATAAAGTTCGATTATTTCCACTTTTTCTGCAAGTGAGTACACCATAATTGTTAAAAAGTTTAACGATATTGAGAAGAACTTCAACGCACAAGTCAAAGAACAGCTATCTAGCAACTGCCGCACCCGATCGTTCAACCTTGTGGCAAATTCATTGCGGTACCACTTGACCCCCCTTCCCATTTGAAAAAAGTTGGGGATGACACCCCCGCTTAGAGAGTTGAAGATTTTGCAATCATTTTTGGGGCAAAAGTTGTCCCCCTCACAAACAAAATTGACGTGTTTTTGGATTTTCTGAAAAAAAATTACCCTGGCCGTTATGCCTTGCGGAACGTTTTCGATGGGCCACCCTGTATATGTTTATTGTGTATTGTATTCATAACAAAAAAAAAGCAGTGTGTGCACTATGTGTGCATATTGGAAGTGAAACAGACCGCTGTCGGTCGCGCCAGTGTGATGAGACACTTCAGCACGCTCGTTTCAATGCTGTCTGTGTTTATTAAAGTTTCCTGACGTATTATTTGTGATTTATAGTTGATCAAATGTGTTGAATTGTAGTTTATCGGAAATGTTCTGTGTTTTTATTATTTAATTGCTAAAATCAGAAGTGGGATAGAGCTTACACCACAATAAGCTTTTGAGTGGCATGGTGAAACGTAGAGTATGCATTGGAATAAGATAAGTACAAGTTTCTAATTAGGTTTACAAATTGAAAGTATTGGTTGATGTTTGTCGCTCTGGAAAAGTACGAAAAGTTAATAGTTCAGTTAATCAGTTGAGTATAATAAAGTAAATTTTAAAAAAAATGAGTCACAGCGTCATGTCGCAAAACTCAGAAGCATTGCCCCATTTAGATTGAGCATTGCAGTGTTTATATTAAGCAGTTGGAACATTTTACAGTTTTAGAGCCTAAACAGATAGCCTGTATAAAGTTAGGGAGGGAAATATTACAGTGATCGTTATTAAAACAAGTATTTTCTGCATTATTTCATAGCGATTTAAGTTTAATTAAGTTTTTATGGTCTGAAATTGTCTGAATAAGTTTTAATGATCTGTTTATTACTGGTAAATACATTGGTACAGAATGGTTGGTTTAAAATATTAGCCACACCGTTTAAATTTTAATTCGGAATAAGTTTTTTTAATTGCATAACAAATAGCAATACAGGAAGTTTTTGTCAAAAAAAATATTGATCGGTATTTATTCAGGCGAAGTGATAAATATTGTTGCTTTTGTTTGCAAGGCTGCTGTTGTTTTTTTACTTATTTCTTGCAGGTTAAAATAGTCTTGTTTTGTTGTTTTGGCTAAATTAGTCATTATGTCATACATGCGGTATTTTGTTATTGGGTCATTCTCAGCAAGCGTGATGTTTTTATTTTATCAAAATATTAGGAAAATTAAACATTCTAACTGAACTTATTAATTATTACTCGTAAATAGTAATATTATTCAGTTGCATTTGTTATGTTTGTTTCTATTTTTCTCTATCTGTTTTATTCAAAATGCAAAAAATTGAGAGTTTATTTTATCTGTGGTTTTATGCAGGGGATTTCAACTAACTAATTTTAAAACGCAAATTATTAATAGATGAGATGCATTACTGAGATGGCACTTATTTTTTGTATATGTGTTGAACTAGTTTTGTTTATTAGTCATTGTCTACTTAAGTTTTCGTATGTATTGCAGAAATATAAAAATAATGACGATAAAAATATTAATTATAATTAGTTAATGTAGATATCAGAATACGAATGGCACGTGTTAGAAATGAATGTGTTGAAATCATGGACGCTTTGCACTGTGGTAGAGTGTTGAAAGCATGGACGCTTTGCACTGTGGTAGAGTGTTGAAAGCATGAACGCTTTGCACTGTTGTAGTATTTGAGTGTTGAAAGCATGGACGCTTTGCACTGTTGTAGAGTGTTGAAAGCATGGACGCTTTGCACTGTTGGCACGTGTTATACATGAATGTGTTGAAAGCATGGACGCTTTGCACTGTGAGTAATGTGTGAGTGTGTGAGTGCTGTTAGTAATGTAATAATTTAGTAATGTTTTAGTAATATTTATGTGTTGAAAGCATGGAGGCTTTGCACTGTTGTAGTATTTGAGTGTTGAAAGCATGAACGCTTTGCACTGTTGTAGTATTTGAGTGTTGAAAGCATGGACGCTTTGCACTGTTGTAGTATTTGTGTGTTGAAAGCATGTACGCTTTGCACTGTTTTAGAGTGTTGAAAGCATGGCCGCTTTGCACTATTGTAGAGTGTTGAAAGCATGGACGCTTTGCACTGTGGTAGAGTGTTGAAAGCATGGACGCTTTGCACTGTTGTAGAGTGTTGAAAGCATGGACGCTTTGCACTATGGTAGAGTGTTGAAAGCATGGACGCTTTGCACTGTGGTAGAGTGTTGAAAGCATGGACGCTTTGCACTGTGGTAGAGTGTTGAAAGCATGGACGCTTTGCACTGTGGTAGAGTGTTGAAAGCATGGACGCTTTGCACTGTTGTAGAGTGTTGAAAGCATGGAAGCTTTGCACTGTGGTAGAGTGTTGAAAGCATGGACGCTTTGCACTGTTGTAGAGTGTTGAAAGCATGGACGCTTTGCACTGTTGTAGAGTGTTGAAAGCATGGACGCTTTGCACTGTGGTAGAGTGTTGAAAGCATGGACGCTTTGCACTGTGGTAGAGTGTTGAAAGCATAGACGCTTTGCACTGTTGTAGAGTGTTGAAAGCGTGGACGCTTTGCACTGATGTAGTATTTGAGTGTTGAAAGCATGGACGCTTTGCACTGTTGTAGAGTGTTGAAAGCATGGACGCTTTGCACTGATCTAGTATTGAGTGTTGAAAGCATGGACGCTTTGCACTGTGGTAGAGTGTTGAAAGCATGGACGCATTGCACTGTTGTAGAGTGTTGAAAGCATGGACGCTTTGCACTGATGTAGTATTTGGGTGTTTCATTTTCAAGAATTCCTTCCTGATATTCAATAGCCGATTCCGAATAGAATTACTTCGAGAGCGAAGTCCGTGTCAGAATTGGCCGTGTTAGAAATATGATTATATATAAACAAAATTGATTTATTTTTGGGAAGATAAGCACGGACCGCTGTCGGTCGCGCCAGTGTGATGAGACACTTCAGTACGCTCGTTTCAATGCTGTCTGGGTTTATTAAAGTTTCCTGACGTATTA